ACCCCGGGAGCGCTCGGAACCCGTGACCTCCCAGAAATCCCACTCAGCTCAAGGCTACACACACATGTCCCAGTGCAGAGAGATCCCAGATAAGTCTGACTCTGCCATAATTCTGATTTCTGAAAATCCTAATTTTCATAATTCCAGGTTTCTGAGCCTAAACCTGTGCTGCTTTCCTGGGAATTCACCCTGAGAGCACTCAGAACCCATGACCTCCCAGAAATCCCACTCAGCTCAAGGCTACACACACATGTCCCAGCAGCAGAGAGCAGTGAGATCCCAGATAAGTCTGACTCTGCCATAATTCTGATTTCTGGAAATCCTAGTTTTCATAATTCCAGGTTTCTGAGCCTAAACCTGTGCTGCTTTCCTAGGAATTCACCCTGAGAGAGCTCAGAGCCCGTGACCTCCCAGAAATCTGTCTGACTCTGCCATAATTCTAGTTCCATGTTTCTGGAAATCCTAATTTTCATAATTCCAGGTTTCTGAGCCTAAACCTGCACTGCTTTCCTGGGAATTCACCCCCAGAGTGCTCGGAACGTGCTGGAGCTGCCTCTCCTCCTTTTATCTGCTTTTCCAATCTCATCCTCCCAAAGGCAGGAGGGAAACCTCCCAGTCAGCTCCAGTCAGGACTCACCAGTTCCAACCAGTACTGCAGGACCTGCCGGGGAGCTGGGATGAGGCGGAAGCCGCAGCTCCTCTCTGTCTCCTGCCCACACGGAGATTCCCAGGAGACAACCCCAAACAGCAGCAGCCCGTGGGGAGCCCTGCACGTGCTCCCAGAGCTCCCACACACCCGTGGAAAATCTCCTCTCACAGGCACTGCCCCACCGCCTGTCGGAGCTCCATCCTGCTCACCCCAACTCCGAGGGAGCTCAGCCTCCTGCCAAGGGTGTTTTGGTTATCCAGCACCCCCCCTCCAGCATGGGATTTGGAAAACAGAAAGGGATTTAAAGGTTTAAAAGGGAATTTAGAACCCTTTTAAATTCCTGGGTGGTTCCCAGCGCTCTGTTCCGGTGAGGATTTCCTCTGTCCCATCCACCTGTGCTCTGGGAACTTCCTGAGCAGCCACTGCAGCTCTTCCAATCCCCACATTCCAATCGTTATTCCAGCACTGTGGAACAAGTTCTAGAAGCTTCCCAGCAGCACTGATGGGCAACGTGGAGGCTCAGCTTGACCACAGAGCCCTCAAGGCTCTTCCTGATCCAGGGAGCTCTGCTGGATATCCCTGGATTTCTCCTGGTCTCTGGCACGCTGAACTCACCAGGGGAATCTCAAATCTCTCCATCTGTGGCATCGAGGAAGTTTCCAAACCTGTTCTTGTGTTTTCTGCCTGTATCCCGAGCCTATGGAATCCCAGCTTTGTCTCCTGGAAGTATCCTGACAGCTCCCACAGCTCGAGGACACTGCAGGAATCAGGCCCTCAACAAGATTTCCTCCTCCCAGACAGCAATAAAACCTGTTTTACAAAATGACTTTTCCTTTCATTTTTACACCCTGGAAAGGCGCCTTTTTTTTTTTTTCCTCCCCATTTTAAGAAAGCCTCATTTTAGATTTTAGACAATTCTATGCAGATGCAGCAGCGCTGCAGTTTCAGGATGCTGAAATCTACAAAAATTACACGAGAAAACTCCAACGTGATCACACTTCTCTCACTTTCACTCACGTTAAGATGAAGCATCTCCACTGTTCAGGGCTTCAGAAGAAAAGTAAAAGCCTGGCTGAGGATAAGGGCCCAAAAACCATCAGTCAACGCTGTCCCCAGCCCAAATTCCTGACAAAACAAAACCTCAGGAAGTGCTACTGCCTCCAATCCTCCCAGCCAGGCCCGTGGAGGTCACAGAATGGTTTGGGTTGGAAGGGGCCTTGAAGCTCATTCAGCCCCTCCTGCCATGTGCAGGGACACCTCCAGGGATGGGACATCCTCTGGAAAATCCATTCAAGTGTTGCACCACCCTCAGAGGGAGGAATTTTTTCCCCAATATCCCACCCAAAGCTGCTCCCTGGCAGTTGGGAACCCTCGTTCTGCCGCTGGAGACGTGGGAATGCTGCCGGCAGCTCCCAGGGCAGCTCAGCTCTTCTTTCCCAGCCCGTTTTCCACCCTGCACGTGGAAAACTCCGGCTCTTCTTGAGGAAACGCTCGCGTCCACCAGAGCTCTGCCACGAGCTGGCTTCGGGTGGCTGAAGGCAGGCGATTAATTAGGGTTAATTAGCTCCGGGGGAGCCGGGAGCGCGGGATTCCGCTCGGGATGCACGTGGGGGAGGAGATCCAGCGGCTCACCTGCACCGGGCACAGCAGCACCACGGCAGCCCCGGGGCTTTCCGTGAGCCTCCACCCCATCCTGAGGGGCCTTTTCGCTATTGCTCGGTTTTTTTATGGAATTCTGGAACGCTTTGGGCTGGAAGGGAGCTTAAATCCCACCTCGCTCCAGCGGACCGGGCTGCTCCGAGCCCGGTCCAGCCCGGCCTCGGACACTCCCAGGGACAGCGCCAAGCGCGGGGATGGATTTCCCGCAGAAAAACCCCAAGTTCGCCAACAGATCCGCTCGCCTGCGCGCTCTGGATTGTTCCACGCGTTACTTACCGGCAGCTTTCCGCGGTTTCGGCCGCCACCGTTCGGCGGGTGCCGGTGGCCGAGAAACGCGCAAACACCCCCGAACACCCCCCGCCACCCGCGCGGCGGCCCCATTCATCCCGCACGGAGATTCACCGCGGGACACCGGGGCCGAGCCGGCAACCGGGGCCGGCGGCCGAGCCGGGGCGCTCCGCCCTCACGCGGTAACCGGAGCCGGGCCCAGCCGATAAGCGAGGCAAGCCCGCCGCAAGGTCAGCGGGCGGCGGGAGCCCGCGCTCGCTCGGCGGCGCCGGGGCGGCTCCCGCGGCCCGGTGGGGCCTGGCGGGGCCTGCCCCGCGCCGCTCCCATCCCCGGGCCCTCACATGGCGGATGGCGACGTCTCTCCGGCGGGGCGCTCCTGCGGGGCGTGTGTGCCGCGGGCTGTGCGGGCGGTGCGGCGGCGGTCGGGCGGTGCCGGGAGGGCTCCGGGAGGGCTCCGGGGGCTCCGGCGGCGGCTCCGGCGGCTCCGGGCGGGCTCGGGGCTCGGCGCGGCCTCGCTCCCACAATGCCCCGCGCGCGCTCGGCCCGTGGTGACGCAGCAAAATCCCCGCGCGCGCCGCCTCCTCCTCCCGCCGCCGCCACCGCGCGTGCGCGGCGGCCCGCGCGCGCCCCCGCCCCGCGCGCGCCCCCCCGCCCCGCCGCCCTTCCAGCAGCTTCTCGGCGCGCATGCGCAGTGCGGCGCGGGGAGGTTGTGGCGGGGGGGTGCGGACCACCGGGACCCCCCCCCCGGTTCTTGTCCCCGGTGAGCCCCGGGAGCGGAGCCCGAGCCCAGCCGGCTCCGGTCTCCCGTCAGGGAGCTGTGCGGTGGAAATTCCCCTCTGAGCCTCCTTTTCTCCAGGCAGTTCCAAAGCCTGAGCAGCTTTTCCAGGAGGAAATTCCTCCTCTTGTCCACCCTGAGCCTCTCCTGCAGGAATTTGGGGCTGTTCCTTCTCCTGCTGTTCCTGGGAGCAGATCCTGACTCTGCTCTCCTATCAGGGAGTTGTGGGGTGGAAATTCCCCTCTGAGCTCCTTTTTTCCAGGCAGTTCCAAAACCTGACCACTTTTTCCAGGAGGAAATTTCTCCTGATGTCCATCCTGAACTTCTCCTGGAGGAATTTCGAGCTGTTCCTTCCTGTCCTGGTGTTCCTGGGAGTAGATCCCAACTCCACTCTCCCATCAGGGAGTTGTGGGGTGGAAATTCCCCTCTGAGCCTCCTTTTCTCCAGGCAGCTCCAAAGCCTGACCACTTTTCCAGGAGGAAATTCCTCCTGATGTGCATCCTGAACCTCTCCTGGAGGAATTTGGGGCTGTTCCTTCTCCTCCTGCTGTTCCTGGGAGCAGATCCCAACCCCACTCTCCCATCAGGGAGTTGTGGGGTGGAAATTCCCCTCTGAGCCTCCTTTTCTCCAGGCAGCTCCAAAGCCTGAGAAGCTTTTCCAGGAGGAAATTCCTCCTCATGTCCACCCTGAACCTCTCCTGGAGGAATTTCAAGCTATTCCTTCTCCTCCTGCTGTTCCTGGGAGCAGATCCCGACCCCGCTCTCCCACCAGGGAGTTGTGGGGTGGAAATTCCCCTCTGAGCCTCCTTCCCTCCAGGCTGAGCCCTTCCCCAGCTCCCTCAGGGTCTCTCCAGACCCTTCTCCTGCTGCTCCAGCCCTTCCCCAGCTCTGGCCACGCTCCAGCCCCTCGATGTCCCTGTGGCCGGGGGGGGCCCAGCAGTGCCAGCACAGGGGGACAATCCCTGTGCCCACGGCTGGGACAGCCCAGGTGCCATCCTGGCCACACCTGGGCACACCTGGGCTCTGTCCAGCCGCTGGCACCAGCACCCCCAGGGCCTTTCCAGCCCCTCTCCCCCATTCTGGAATGTTCCATGGGGTTGGTGGTGCTTTGTTGAGCCATTGGATCCATCCTGTCCAGCTGGCTCTGCAGCTTCCTGCTCTCCAGCACATCACCATCCCACCCAAGCTGGTGTCATCCACAAACCAAGGTGCCCTCAATCCCCTCACCCAGATCATGGATAAAGACATTCCCCAGGGCTGTCCGTGTCCATCCACCACCTGGATGCAGCCCAGCTCCCCACCGGGTGTGAGCCCCGAGGAGTGCAAGGGTCCCAAAGGCTTTACTGGAGCCCACCGCCCACATCCACAGCCTCTCCCTCACCCGTGGTCCCCGCTCCTGCCGGCTGCAGGGAAGGGAGGAGCCCCCCTGAAGGGAACCCTGGGGGGATCAAGGGGTGACCCTGCAGCTGACTGAGCTGACCTGGGCTCGTGTCCAGCCAGGCTCTGGGACAGGAAGGAAAGGAGGGAATGGGCAGATGGTGTTCCAGGACGGGGTATCAGCGCCGGGATCTTCCCAGGAGGAAGGCTCCACCCTGAGAAGGGCGGGCAGCAAAGCACCACAGGGCAGCCATTTCACCAACAATAAGCCACAACTTTATTAACCGATAGAAATAGTACAAATTTTAAATTTAGCTGTATTTTACTCTTCTCTGAAACACCAAAAAAGGCTCCTCCCTCCGGCGGCTACATCGTCAGCTCCTGTGGGAAGAACGGGAGTCAGGAGCCAGCCCAGAGCCAGCAGCTCCCCCCAGGGACCCCCCCCAAAGCTGCTGCCCCCCAGCACTCACCATTATTGCGTTTACAATGTCGTTACTGTTGTTCTTGAGGGCTCTCACAGCCTTCGCACGTGACACGTTCGCCTGCGACATCACCAGCTCGATGTCTTTCACCTCCACGCCGGTTTCATCAACCTGAAGGAGAAACAGAGCCCAGGATTGCTGCCAGATCCAGGCTTGGCACGGGCTGGGATTGTCTGGATTGGAAGCCACGAGGCCAGGCCTGCAGTGTAAACACCCCCAGGGCAGGAGCCTGTGCTCAAACTTGGATGAAGGAGAGGAATTTATGGATTAACCCAAACCACGGCCCCACAGGGAGGCTGGGGAAGGCCTTACCTCCTCTTCCTCACTCTCCTCCTGCACGGTGGGGGTCTGTGTGTTTTCTTGGATGTTGGAAACAGGTTCTCCTTGCACTTTGAACTTTTCGGCAGCTGCCAGCTGAGCCTGCTGGGACAAGTCTTCGATCTGCAGGAGGGAAGGGAAAGAGCGGAGCGGTGAGGCCAGTCCTGGGCAGTGCCAGGACGTTCCCTGGCAGGAGCCACGCAGTGCACAGGTGACAGGAAGGAGCCCTGTCCTGCTGGCTCCAGGGTGGGCTCACCTTGGCCTCGCCAAAGACGATGTAGGTGTCTGACGCCGGGCTCTTGTACACGTCTGGCTTTGTGATGACGAAGAGGATGTTCTTGGATTTCCGGATGGTGACTCTGGTGACTCCTGTCACCTGGCGAAGGCCCAGCTTGGACATTGCCTGAAAAACACCGGGGAAAGGTCAGCGAGGGAAGAAGAGCTCCGGAGCCAGCCCAGATGTGCCCACTCCTCTTTCCAGAGTCCCAGATCCAACATTTGCTGCATGGAGACGCATGGAAATGTGCATTACTGCCACGGAGCAGCACTCCTGGGCTGTCAGCAGGAGGGAACACTCCCATGCAGGACCAGTGAGATCCCCAGTGTGACTCTGAGCCCTGGGGCTGTTCAGCAAGGACAGGTGAAGCCTCACCTTCCGAGCTTTCTTCTCGCTCCGGCTCTGTTTTGCTTTGCTGACGGGTTCTTCATCTATTTCGGCGGCAGCTGCGAGCTGCAGGGAGGGAAAACCAGAGAGACCGGTGACAGGGGTGACACCGCAGGGACTCTGACCCACCACGGCTGGCGTGTGCCACCTGCCCTACCTGTGCCTGCTGCGTCGTGGCCTGTGTGGAGTCCTGCTCTTCGAGCTCTGGTACGGATTCATCGCTGTCGGACTCTGTGCCAGACCCTGCAGAGACACACACACCTCACTCTTCCCACCTCGGGTAGGTCCAGGGCACACGGCCTTTGCTGCTGGCTCCCAGTGAAGCCCAGTTAGGTGGTGGATGGAGCATTCCCTGCACTCCGAGTGCCATCAGGAGCTTTCACTGCACCCCAAATGGCATCAGCAGGGTGGCACAAATGGGTCCTCAGCCTCGGCCCACAGTGGGAGCCGGGTGCCAGAGCCCCACAGGTGCCTGGAGGCTCCGGAATGAATCCAGAGATAGCTCCAGCCTGTGGCAGCGGCTCAAGGAGGAGGTGGGTGACACTCCCAGGGTGCTGAGGTGGCAGCAGCGCAGTGTGACAGGGCCCCTCGACTCCCCTCTAACCCAGAGCTGACACACGGCACCGAGACCCCGCTCACCGAGCCCTCAGGGCTGCTGCACATCCGTGGCTTCACTACAGGGATGATCTGGCACAACCCCGAACCCCTCCCGGGGAACAGCACCTCTGGGTGCCCAGAGGGCCACCAGCTGCAGTGCCACCACCACTTGTGACCCACGGCACCGAGCACACCAGTTATGGAAGCAGAGCTGGGTGCCCCCGGCGGTCACAGGGAGGTGACCATGATGCTCCCGTGCAGCCATTACCTGGATTGAGTCCTCAGTCCTCTGGGAAGGGCCTCTGTGCCCACAGCACACACAGGAGCCCTGGCAAAGCTCTCTGCAGGTGCCAGGGCGTGCCCAGAGTCCCCAACACTTCAGGCATAGCATGGGGACAGCCCAGTTTGGCACCAACGCTGCCGCCCTTCCGCCGCCAGCCGGCCACGGGGACACCACACGCAGCAGGGCCAGGCACGTGGCAGCTCCTCCGTGTGAAGCCAGCTCAGCTCCGCGGTGCCCATGCCACAAAAACCACACCGTGCTCCGTGCCCGAGGACGCGCGTTAGTGACCGCCGGCGCCGCGCCCCGGCCCCGGGCGCCGTTAGTACCCCGTGGGCAGCCAGTGACACTCCATGCACACGGCAAACCGCGGCCGCAAATACCCTTGTCATTCTTGAGGACGGGCTGCGGCGCCGGCGGGGCCGGGACCCCCGCGGGCGGGGACAGCTCCAGCAGCACGGGCGGCTCGGGGGGGAGCAGAGGCGGCAGGTCCTCATCCTCAGCGCCAGGCGGGGCTTTCGAGGTGGGGCGAGTGGCCAGCTTGGCCACCTTGTCATTACTGGGGGGCTGCTGCTTCTTGGCGGGGGGAGCGCTCGGGGCAGAGCCAGGACGGCCGACGTCTGCTTTGGAGGGGGTTGTGGGCTTTGGAGGGGAACCAGAAGCACCCGTGGCTGGAGCTGCTGGAGTTGGAGTGGCCTTGACAGGGCTCTTTGGGGGTGCCTTGGCCTCAGCAGGGCTTTTTGAGGGTCCTTTGGCCGCAGCGGGGGTGGCTGGAGGGGGAGTGGCTTTGACAGAGCTTTTTTGGGGTGCCTTGGCCTCAGCAGGGGTAGATGGAGCTGCGGTGGCTTTGACAGGACTCTTTGGGGGTGTCTTGGCCTCAGCAGGGCTTTTTGAGGGTCCTTTGGCTGCAGCGGGGGCCACTGGA